AAAGAAACGTTACATTTGACAAAATATCTTCCATTTTCATTTTCAGATTAAATTGGCTGGAATTTAAGGATTAAGATTGAATTTTACTCGGCGGCCTGTTATTTTGGATGGAAACAAAGGAGACAGGCGCAATAGCTTTATCGGCACGACGTGTCTAATCAGACGGTTCCTTAATTATGCCTTTAACCAGTCGCTCCTGTGTTTCTGCATTCTGTCGCGCGCGGTGTCGTGACAAGATCTTCTACGACGCGTCACTTTCGTCGTTTTATCGTGGTCGTTCTGTCGGCTGCAGGCTCCGGCAACACGACCGCCGCGAGGAGGTTCGCAACGTTTTACACTAATTATCGGGGAAGATTAAACGTTTGACACGCATGTGCTCAGAAACTTAAAAATAGCCGTTCCGTCATGGCTCGGTCATGAAGTTTGGCATCTGTAAAGATAGCCACGTCTCTGGCCAGAAATGGGCAATAGGCTTATCTGGATACTAATGTTAAGTAACGTATAAAAGATAAACCACTGTTTATTCGATCTAAACGAAAGTTACAATTAAAAACTCAAATTCAAGCACAAAATTGGAATTCGAGTTATAGAATGATGATTATGCGATTAAATTTTATCCATCTCAAGGTTCATCCCTTGGAAAAATCGCTATTTTATTAAAAAGAGTGTTCCTTGCTTCCAGTATTGTCCATATCAACACAGATGTTCAAGGTGTGGCAATAACTATTAGCACCTCAGATATCTTCGAAACTATAAGTTAATTGTAACTTCTCCACCGTGTATACGAATTCAAACACTCACCCTACGAAGGGCAAGACTGATCGATACCGTGTGAATTGGCGAATACGTACCTGCAACAAACACAAACAACACGATTAGAAGGAAGATTGAAGTTGATCCAGTGCCCGAATAGTTACGAGAGGCGAGGTAGTTTAAAGCAAAAGAGATCGAAAGCATCGCACTCGTTTACCTGCGAGGCAGCTGTCGCAGTCGTGACATGTCATTCAAACTATTTCGTTTCATGTGACACCGCGAAAGTCGCGAGGTTTCCTCGACTGTCTGGTTCGCATCACCTAGACATTGGTCGTTGTAGACGTTTCGTCTGATCGCGACGGAATGCTCGTTTTTATCGCTGGTGTTCGGTCCATGTTGCTGACACCAGCGGTCACGGAATACACGTGGGGATACAACGGGGTGGTAGGATTCGCGATGCTGGTAACAATATCCATCCCTTGGGAGATAAGGCAAACCAGCGAGAGCTGCGCGCGCGCGCGGGACGCGTAAAGCGTGCGTGTGCCTCTGACACGTGTCGTCAACGATAAAGCCCGTGGATCCGACGCCACGAGAGGCTGACGGATCGATGAATCGACAGGGAAGCTCGGTGCCAGGCGATTTCATGGGCGTCGATCACAGAAACGACCGATTGCGCGATTTAGATTAGAGCGATCGCGTACGTGAGAATGGCCCTCGTCGTCGACGTCGATCCGTGTGACGTTAACCGTCGACGAGAGATTCAAGAGAGCAGTCGAAATCTTAGCTAGTCGGTGTGAATCGGTGAACAGCGATTTTCTTTGACCTGGGTCAGATTTGATTAACGATACTCTGTTTGCCAAGTTCGTGGTCCAATGACGGCTCCGAACCGATTAGCGAAGCTGAAGATGTTTACGAAAGTGGGAAGGTCAAAGTTGAAGTAACTTTTGAAAAAGGAAATGTTAAAGTTCATGGTATTGCTAATACGGGGACTGATGAAGTTGAAGTCGATGCCCGTATCGTGACCAGCAAACAGGAATCACTGGGATTCGAGATGGGGAACCCAGATGAACTCCACTGGCGTGGCGCTTAACGTGTTAATTGCTAGACGTTCGCGAGGTAAAAAATTTATTTATATACTAACGCATCGAGCGTTCCAGTATCCAGCCTTAACGACTCAGTCTCCGATTACTGGCAACGGTCGCGCAAGAAGCGGTCAGCCATCCGCACGATAAACGTAGATCGGAATTTCGATACTCGCTCGAACGTTATTTTCGCATTACCATTCTGCGGTGTATATTTAGAATCTACGATGCTCGGCATTAACGCCGATACGCTCACCGCGTTCGCATATTTGAGATTTTTCTGATTGCGAGGAATGGCAGTGGAAATGCCCGCAAAGGTCATCCTGAAAGACCACGCTCCCATCTGCTGAGAGTAGAGCGTGCCAGAGCCTGAAAGGACGGACGGTGGATTGCTTACAAGATATACATATTAATAATGCCAGTAGTGCGTTTCTATTGCATTAAAATTAAAAAATGGGAGTACAAATTCAAAAAACGACAAAACATCTCATTTCTCGTAGAATGAAATATCTGCTAAGGAAATGTCCTACGAGTCCCTCCGTTTTTCAAGAGTTGTCCATAATCTACTATTTTACGAAACCAGACATTTTACGTCTAGACATTATCGTGTCCTAGATCGGGAAATCCTTTCCGAAGGGTTTCGAATCGCGACACTCGAATCCGTCCGACGAATAAGAATGACTCGGACGATTCGGATCGCGGTTGAAATTTTTCAATGCTCTCCTGGACGGCAAGGTGGTTCGCAGGGTCGTGGAATCGCGTTCGGAAGACCGATAGGCTGGCCCCGGGTCCAAGGGAGTTCGAGGAATAATGGGCGAGGATCGCGGCATGCTCTAGGTGAAAGATGCTGCGTGTCCCAAGGAGGAACACGGCCGGGAGTTCGCGGGAAAAGAGAGGAGAGGAACGGACTTAACGGCTGCTAGAACGGAAAGCGAGGGAAGAAGAGAACGCTAGAAGGAGAGGAAGAGGTTGCTGGCTGAGGCGAAGAGGAGGACGGTTGGAGTGGGCAAGACAGGAGAGCGAACGGAGGACATCGAACTGAAATGGCCTCTGGGAGCGCATTCCAGTATTCCACTCTCGCTACCTTAGGCCATCCTCTCCCTCCCCTCTGTCTGTCCTCCGTCCTTCTCTTCTTCAGGATTCTTCTCCTTCTTCGGCGTCGTTGTCGACGTCGTCGTCATCCCTTTCTCTCTGTTCCTCTCGTCCTTCGCGACCGCCGACTCTTTTCGTCGAGTCGTCCACCTCCCCCTCTCCCTCGTTCTCGCGGTCTCATCCCTATCGCCGGTGCTCAGCATCCTCCTTTGGACTTAGAGTCCTTTTATTTCGCTCTCCGCATTCTTCAGTTTTCGCTCGCCGCCGGCGCGACGGACTTTCCTCCTCGGCCGACACCGCGGACCGATCCTCAGTGCCTCGCGTAACGTTCGAAAATTAGGGTCGACATTTATCGATACGCGAGGCAGAGGTGGCGAATTTTTTGTCAACACCGATGGTGCGAGGACGAGAGCTGCTGGTAAAGGATTTCGAATGATGGGTCGAAGGAACGCAAACAGAGTTCAAGATCACTCCCAATCGCGAATCCGATCGGTTCGTTTCGTCGACATTCGAGACAAGAAGACAAATCTTAACGCGTTGACTGCCACACTAATACTCTTACAAATTTCTACTGCGATTAAATTTTATTTACTGACTATTGAAGACTACATCATCGTGCATTTATTGTGGTATTTATTTTTGTAACTTCACCGAAAATCAAATATTTCATATAAATTCATTTTCTTTGATATTTAACTTTCAAAATTAATTTTTTTATTTCTTTAGTAAAAAGCACTGTCACCCATATATGGTGACATGGCGGTCAACGTATTAAGAAAGTTATCCATCATATTTGAAGGTCGATAGAATGAAACAATGTTTATCGTAAATTGCAAACAATCGTAAATTTGCAGACGGTACGAACATATTCCACGATTCGAAACCGACTCGAGGGGTTGATGGTTCCGATCCTCCTTGCTCTGCGATCGTTTAGAAAGGAATCTCCCAGCGAGGATAAACCTTTTACGAACATTAGCACGCTGCAGCCAAGGTGTCTCTCGCTTATGTAAGAGTTTTCGAATTCCTTCCGTTTATTAGTACGTCTATGTTTACCGAATTACGAGCCGCTGGCAACCACGTTGTTATTTACATGCGTGTCCGCAGGTAGAATCCTGGCACCTGTCCGCGGTCTCGGTCCTTTTTTATTTAGTCCCCAGGCCGCATTCCTCCGCTTCCGTTGGCCGCCGCGACGCGGATTTCCTTTGTCCCGTTGCGTGCACCGTGCACGAATTTCTTTTGCATACTTCGTTTAACGCGATCCGCCCTGCGCTCCGAAATTTCCGATTCCCGACCATCGATTTACGTGTTCAGTCGAACGTGTGCTTCGGACATTCTAACGTAGACGGGGTAGCGTCGAATGCTGAAGATTTATACGATTCTTCTAACGTTACAAAAATGTTTCATTATAAATACGTACACGAATAACCTTTACACATGTACATATATATTTATAATGAAGTATTTATTTAGAAACGTGACATCTATCATTTAATTTAGACAAACTTCGTGAATGAACATAGAAGGTACGAATACTTATGGGACTGACTGTATATCATTAGCATCTGTACCTCTCAAAGTCCGCCCCCTCCGACGGTTGCAAGGGAGAAGTAGCGCGTACAGGGTTTTCAGGACGTGAAATCAGGTTCCTTTGTTAAAAAAAAGGACTCAAACGCGATTCCCTTAAATCATATTCCATTGTTGCCTTTAAGTTTTTTGCCGCCCGCCTTTTCCCGAGCTCGCTCGTCCAGAGAATACGCCGATGGTACGAAAATGCCCGGAAGAGAACGCGGCTCCGCTCGAGTCTGGAGGACGAACGTAAATTTTTTTTATTACATTGCCATTGCCCGTTGAATTACCGACAGCCTTGGCACGCGAGCTACCGGGCGAACAATGCTCGCGTCCCATGGAGGAGAACTCAATGACCCTGAAAAGTCGACTTAGCCTTCCCATTCGAAACTTCCCTCGACGGGGTTATCAAAATTTTCGACTCCTCCACGACGCTTCCCGCGATCAAATCCAATTCCAGGGGGTCGACTCGTTCGATCGGAGACTACATGAATTTTTATTCTTTAGGGTTACCGGTGATCGGGGCATCGGAGATATTTGAGTGGACCCGAAGGAGGACTTATCCTTTAGAGACCCCTGACGTATCAAAGTTGAAGAGCAAGGTACCGCAACCTCAGAGCGTTGAGGTGTAAAGAGATTCTGCTCCAAGAAAATTTTATTTTGCTTCATAAGTATTATTTCTGATACAAAGAACAATGTCACACCCCTCACCCTCTGCGTCTCGAATTCAGGTTCAGAAATTGCAGAACGAGGATCGTCGCACGCGTTAGCAGACGGTCGCTATCGAGTCGTTTGACGGCGAGAGTGGAGAGCGAAAACGAAGCCATCGAACAATTACGCGCCCAATTCAACGAATGATTGCAACGAATGATGACACTGCAATCGACGGTTTCTCACAGTTCGTCCAGTGTTCCGTCAGGGCCGTGGAAAGTTCGCGCGAGCATAAAATCTCGATCGGGGATCGCAGAGTTTCCACGCTAGGGGAAGGGTTTTCGCGGTGCTAGAATTTAATGGCCGTGGCAGAAGTTCCGCTTAACGAGATGGAGTGAGCCCGAAAGATAAATCGGACCTGGCGCTTTTATTCTCCGCGGTGAGTTTCGAGCTCGGAGATTTTCCTTTGACGATGTCTTTAATTCTTATGGAAGATATCCCGCGTACGGTGACATACGCAATCATAGTATACAGTCAGTCTCATAAATATTCGTATTCTCTATGTCTATTAAAGAAGTTTGACTAAATTAAATAGTAGGTTCGATGTTTTCAAATAAATGTTTCATTAGAAATATGTTCATGGATAAACTTTACACTTGTACATATCATTTGATTTAAACAAATTTGTTCAATAAACACAGGGAGTACGAATATTTATGGGATTGACTGTATATAGAAGGATGCTGCGAGAATTTTGCTATGCGAGGATTTTAATGCAATGAAGTTTATATCTATTTGGCGCGGTATTTGAACACGGTTAATTTTCATGGAATTTATATTCTTAAAAAAGCATGCTTCGGTCATCTCAGACTATTTCCTATTTATAATTCTCTCAGCCAGTCTTGCAAGCTTCCTGCTTTGAACAAGGTGCCTCTGGCAAGGTTCTAGGCTTCGCATTGCGAAAGGCTGACAGATACGTTCTTTAATTATACGTGAAGCGTAACTGAAAATCAAACAGTTGGTGCATGTCTACCTATTTTATATTCTATACAGCGTAGCTTTGAAGTGACAAAGTCCTCTTCGTGAAGACTCCGTGAAGTGACATGTGACCATCCAATGTCCAAAGGGCCCCCACTCTTAGGTAACCTGAACGTCTTGTACTGCAAGGTGGGCGGAAGTTTTGCAATGTTTGAGAAATCGCCCAAGAAATTCAGATCCTCCCGGTTCGAGCTATGCTCGTATAGGATAGCTAGATAGGAGGGGCATGCACTTAGTGGGTATTTTAGAGTTAATTAGTTAGTCATCGCGATATCTGTCATGGCTCTTCGCGAAACCTTGCGAAGCCAGTGGAGAGCGTAGGGCACTGACCAAAGAATTGGACTTCGTCGAACACGAGAACAGTGTTCGAGTCGAGGAAGTAGAAGGCCTCAGGAGAGTGTACCGACAATTAATGCAAGTGGGTTCTGGTTGAAGAGGAAGAGCCCAGAGGCAGTAGGCTTCGAAGGATAGGAAAATTATCATGGGCCTTCGAGATGGGTTTCTCTGAGAGGTACGCTCGCTTCAAATTATTCTGCCTATACTACTATCCATGATAGCGTGTGAATTTGATATGGTTTGTATGTTACTTTATGGAATCCACAACTTTTCTTAAAAATCTGTTCCTAAAATGATCATCGTCGTTCGCACTCATGCGGATAGTCGAGTGACTCAGACTGTTCATCGTATAATTAACAGGGTGCACTGTTCGATTCAAATCAGGCGGTGCCGTATTCTGCGCATCCCTGGCTGGAGATAACCAGTCTCCACGGAAAGTGCCGTAAACAGGCTAAAATGTGGCTCCCGACATGCAGCCAATGGTAATGGGCGAACTAACGGTGGAATTCCAGGCAACGCTTCGTGCTTTCAGACGAAACGCCGCGAACGAGCGTTCCTATAAAACGGCGTGGCCCCTTTTCAGCCGCGGAAAGCGCGTCCCCATCCTCCACCTCAGGATCATCGAACCGCCTTCATCCCCGAATATGTTTCCGTTTTCCCTATTAAGTTCTCGAGAAGTTCCCTCGTTTGGCTCGCCGTTATCTCCGGATCCCGCCCTTCCCCACCCTGTACCTTATCCGAGCCAGGTTCTGTTTTCTTCGCGCCGCTCGCAAATTAGAATTTGGATCGCTCCGCGTTAACGAGGAGCGGATTAAAGGGCAGGACTCGTCGGCGGTTGTTTCCTCGAGCGGAGGAGAATGTAACGAGCTCGAAGTGGGAGTATTTGAATTCCATTGGCACTCGATAATGATGTTTATAACCTTTGAACCGAGGGGGGCCTCGAAAGAGTCCGCGAGGTCCTCCCATCTTGAGGGGTACAGCCCCCGGCATGCGTATAGTTTTCTAACTACGACTACGTGTGACTTGGCCCGTGGCAAAGCATGTAAGTTGCGCACCTCTGCCTCGAGTTGTCCTCGAAGGAGCGCATAACGCCTAACTACCCGCACGACAAGGTTTCATTATCTCGACGATTTTACGAGATCGAGAAAAAGGCTGGATCGTCAGCCTCTCAAGGATGCTCGTTATCGTGGACGATCCTCCGCGACGTCGCGAGAGGGAAGAGGATTTCGCGTAAAGAGGGACAAGAAAAAGGGCGGGAAATGTAGAAATAACTGGTTCACGCTATTTTTTTCGCAGCGAAAAGACCGAAGAAACTGTGGTCGTAACGTGGACTATGTCCTGAACAACATTATCTTCGTGATCAGAGTTAGTTACTGCAATTCCACTATCGTTATCATTGCATTTATTATATCGTTGGCATATCAAAATGTAAATGCATCATTCTTTTATCCTTTTGGTAACGGCGATTCAATTTTATGCTATCACGAATTCGATTTCTTGGGTATCCTGAACTCTAACAAAACATTGAAATATAGTCAAGATTGTATGGAAATTAAGTTGAAAGTAAATGTTAACGTTTCTTTAATACGCCTCCAATACTTAAGTTAATTCCAAGACGCAGTAACGACTAAGAGCACTTTCGAAAAGAAGATTACTCGAAGCGATATTCCGAGGTCGCCTCGAAGACCAAAAAAGGAACTTCGTCGGCGACAGATTTGGAAAAACTGAAACGTTCAATGTCGAGCGAGAACACGGAAGTGCTTTCGATTTGAATCGAATACGCGTCGTCGATCCGGTATCGATACCGTCCTTGTGCTTCCTCTACAGGCGATTCGATCGAACCTACGCAAAAGAAAAGCTAGCAACGCGTTGTCCTTGTTTATCGATCGACAATGGAACGATTGAATTATCATCGACAATTAACGGAGACCAACGCTATGTTCCGGCTAATTGGCTGGCGCAGGATGTCGACACGTGGCTACTGTCAACAATACTATATCTGGCATGGCTAAGACCCCACTTGGAATGTGCGTCAACTATTACTTAACCCTTTCTGCGTCGTAATATATTTCAATCGATGCTTGGCGCGAGAAAAATCCAACCGTTATCGTTCTCTTCGACAATGAAACGTTAGTCCAAAATATAATGCAAATCTCTTCTCGAACACCATAAACAAAGTGAAATTAAAATATAACGTAGATCGATGCATTATGCCTTCTTATAAATAATTACCCACTTCCCCTTTGAAATATCAAGTGAGATTCGTGCGATAGAGAGTTAATTAAATTTCCTGCATCCCATAGTTCGTTCGGAACGTCCAATATTTATGCCGGAAGTTAATCTCGACGCGCATAGTTCGGTCGTAGCGAAAAGCTGTCCATTTTCGTGGCGTTTAAGCGATCACGGCTCGTTTCGACTCGTCGCCCGGATTTATGAGCTCCATTTTTCCTAGATAGGTCGCCGGTAATTTTTCTCGACGACGAAACGACTGTTACATCGTTTCGATCAGGTTCGAAACGCTGATTCCGTCGGAATTTCATAGCATCTCCGTTTGAATCGAAGTATTTGTCAGACATCGGGTTTTGCGCCATATTTCGTGAGTTTTTTGAAGAGCAAGCTGGTTTTCCTTTCGACGACGCACCGTGGCTATCATTTTCCTGTCCGTTGCGTCTTGCAAAAATCGCTGGTGTTAATTCGACGAACCGTGAACCAAGGATCGCATCTGCATCTTCGCGGACTGCTGGAACAAAGTGGAGCGGCAACGTTTCTTCCTCGGTCGAGAGCACCTGATCACGGCGACTCTAAGTTGCCTAGTGTCACGATATCCTGATCATCTACCGATCAACGAGAATGGGTTCACATTCCATCGACGATCTCCGACCGCGTTACGTTTAAGGCCCATTTCCCGGCGCTCGTCAGACCACCGGCGGAATATTCACGAGCTGCCTGACTCTCGATTCCCTGAGTGGTAACTCAGACGTGCATACATACGCACAGGGAAAAGTCTCATCTAGAGACAAATTCGAATTCGAATTCTGAATTACAAAATCTGGTTTCCCCGAGAGGGATTTCCTTGTTGTCATTTGTTTCGTAAATATATAAATTTAACGATTATTACTTTACGCTTTTAAAGATGCTCTTGAACCGGAGGTTCGGAAGGTTGGGATTGTCAAACGCGTCTTTCTCGTTTAAGTGAAAATTACTCGGTACACGATGGGTTTGATATTCAGGGAACATAGGATACACAGGGAAAATAAATTCGGTTTCGCGCAGAAGACCCCGCGGAGTTCGAATCGGCGGCGCGAGGCGAAAAAGCGCGAAGCGATTGCCGCGCAATAAGGCTCCGGCGTTTCGTGGCAGACACCGTGGCTAACGGATGTGCCGTTACGGGGCCGCATTCCACGGAGCCACGCATGCGCGACGCGACACATTCCATTGTCTTTTACATTCTTCGCGGCCGTTTCTCTCCTCCTCGGTATTCTTAGCACGCTCGCCCGCCAACAACCGCCCCTGGCGCAACGGCGCAGGGCACAGAGGGCCTTATCCTGCCTCGTGCTTTGCCCTTTGCTCCCCCCACCCCTCTCTGAACCCCACGCCGCGCCCGTACTTCCACCGTCGCTCCCTCGTTCTCTTCATCTTCGAAGCGGTTAGAGTGTTCCCTTTCGTCTCCTCGCGTTCCACGCTCCATGCGCTGCAACTTTGTGTTTGTCATTTTCTTTCACCTTTGTCTTCGTCTTCGTCTTCGCCCTTTTTGAATCTTTTTGCGTCTCGAACGACCGGGCTCTTCGCTCTTCACCGGCTCTGTTCCCTTCGCTGATTCGCCAGCCCCACCGGGATCACGTGTTCTGGCCTGTTTACGCGAACGTTCATCCCTTTCGGCGTTCCTCTTCGACTCTTTGTCTTTCCCTTATCTAGATCCTCCGCCCACTACTACACTTAAATCGTCGTGTTGCCCTGATCATTTTTTAAATTCACTATACAGAGTTATTCGTATCAATTCTCGATTAGCGTTCTTTCAATATTGCGTCCTTTCATTCTTCCGCGAGATCTTCAACCG